TCAGACATGACTATAGTCTGTTAACAAGCTGTAGTCTCATTACTTTTAATCTGCTTTAATGCAATAAATTCTATTGTTGTGATAACTGCCCTTTTGTCTTTTGTTGTATTTGTAGTTAGCACGCTGCTTTTGTGTCACAGTGAGTATCACAAGAAATAGAGTTGGCTAAAGTGTCTTTGTGTTGAACCAAATAAATACCCACAGCTTGCCGTCACTGTTTCTAAAAATGAAGCCGTGTCTTTATTGTCATGTGGCTGCTGTGTGGGTTTGGGCCACGGCACGTGGTGTTGTTGTCTCCAGTCCTGAACAAACATTTAATAGATGTTGGTGCTGCTTGCTGGAGCACAGAAGAGCTGCATGATGGGTAGGGACCCTGCTGTTCGCTGCTTCATAGGCCTGAATCTGATCTTACTGTTCCAGAAAGTTTAATGAGATGCTGTGATGGAAAGCCACAGAAAAAGTTTTACCCACACACTTTTAATTGTTTATCCATGTTATCCATGATTTGCGTCTTTTAAAGTCCCGCTAAGGCTAATATCAAGTGGATATCTTACAAAGAGGAAGATTACAGTGTTTATGGAACAAAATTCTCTTCTTTTTATTTCTACTGGCCGAGCTGCAGAGGAGAGATAACACTAAGTAACACTAAAAGGGAATTTCTTACTGAAAAGACTTTGACTTTGGAAGATATCCGCTTGATTTGGCTAACTCAGATGGCTGGTTTTGTCTTCCTATCTCGAACCTTGGAGTCATTTTAGGAAGGGATCTTTTTACAGCCAACCAATAAGTCAGAGAGTATATATGGGCATGTGAGCGTTGTATTAAAATGGACTTACGCTACAGAGAGCTGGTGTAAGTTTTAAAGTTTTTTTTTTTTTTAAAGCATTGTGCTGTAAAGTAAACATAACAATATAACACCTACAATGAAACATTGGTGTTGGTAACATTTTATTTTACAGGTCTGTAATTTCCGATCCAGTCAAAAATACAGACAGTGTTCAATTAATACACTTTTAATTAGTTAGTTTCAGTTCACTATATAATTATAAATATAAGAGTCAGCTGGACATGCACAAATATGACAATTAAGTTTTCTAATAATGAGAAATGGATATAAAATAAATAAATAAAGGATAATTTAATGGATGTATTAAGGACATTTTTCATCCAAATTCGTGCTAAGTTACAAAATTGTATAATATTGCAATCTGGGCTTTAATAGTTCAGTTTTATTGTGGAACTCTGACATGAAATAACTTATTATAGTAACAACACATAATAAATAATATCAACATTAATAATCTAATCGCATAATTACTTGATGTTGTAATCAACAATAGCTCAGGTAATAAAAGTGCTGTCATTGGGCCAAAGATAAGTCTGTTGAAATGATGACCTCATTTCATCCATCTGCTGATGTAATCTCATCCAACAAACCCCACTCTGAAGCATTAAATGCTTACAGATGATAAATGGGTGGATGATCTCCTTTTAACAGGGTTCATAGTTGGGGTTCATGTGCTATTTGTTGCCCTGAAATGCCATTGGGCTAAGAAGAATTACCATGGCGACCTGCAGGATGCCGTTCAGTAAAATAATGGCGAGAGACCTCGTGCACGGTCCGGCTGCTCTGCTGCGTTACGTAAGCTGAACTAGGCACACTAACAAACGGAGGACATTACTGAAGAACATTGTTTGAAGTGACTGCCAAGGAAATATACAGTGGGTACGGAAAGTATTCAGACCCCTTTAAATTTTCCACTCTTTGTTTCATTGCAGCCATTTTCCAAAAATCAAAAAAGTTCATTTTATTTCTCAGTAATGTACACTCAGCACCCCATCTTGACAGAAACAAACAGAAATGTAGAAATTTTTGCAAATTTATTAAAAAAGAAAAACTGAAATATCACATGGTCATAAGTATTCAGACCCTTTGCCGTGACACTCATATTTAACTCAGGTGCTGTCTATTTCTTCTGATCATCCTTGAGATGGTTCTACACCTTCATTTGAGTCCAGCTGTGTTAGATTATACTGATTGGACTTGATTAGGAAAGCCACACACCTGTCTATATGAGACCTTACAGCTCACAGTGCATGTCAGAGCAAATGAGAATCATGAGGTCAAAGGAACCGCCTGAAGAGCTCAGAGACAGAATTGTGGCAAGGCACAGATCTGGCCAAGGTTACAAAAAAATTTCTGCTGCACTTAAGGTTCCTAAGAGCACAGTGGCCTCCATAATCCTCAAATGGAAGACGTTTGGGACGACCAGAACCCTTCCTAGAGCTGGCCGTCCGGCCAAACTGAGCTATCGGGGGAGAAGAGCCTTGGTGAGAGAGGTAAAGAAGAACCCAAAGGTCACTGTGGCTGAGCTCCAGAGATGCAGTCGGGAGATGGGAGAAAGTTGTAGTAAGTCAACCATCACTGCAGCAATCCACCAGTCGGGGCTTTATGGCAGAGTGGCCCGACGGAAGCCTCTCCTCAGTGCAAGACACATGAAAGCCCGCATGGAGTTTGCTAAAAAACACCTGAAGGACTCCAAGATGGTGATAAATAAGATCCTCTGGTCTGATGAGACCAAGATAGAACTTTTTGGCCTTAATTCTAAGCGGTATGTGTGGAGAAAACCAGGCACTGCTCATCACCTGTCCAATACAGTCTCAACAGTGAAGCATGGTGGTGGCAGCATCATGCTGTGGGGGTGTTTTTCAGCTGCAGGGACAGGACGACTGGTTGCAATCGAGGGAAAGATGAATGCGGCCAAGTACAGGGATATCCTGGACGAAAACCTTTTCCAGAGTGCTCTGGACCTCAGACTGGGCTGAAGGTTTACCTTCCAACAAGACAATGACCCTAAGCACACCGCTAAAATAACGAAGGAGTGGCTTCACAACAACTCCGTGGCTGTTCTTGAATGGCCCAGCCAGAGCCCTGACTTAAACCCAATTGAGCATCTCTGGAGAGACCTGAAAATGGCTGTCCACCAACGTTTACCATCCAACCTGACAGAACTGGAGAGGATCTGCAAGGAGGAATGGCAGAGGATACCCAAATCCAGATGTGAAAAACTTGTTGCATCTTTCCCAAAACGACTCATGGCTGTATTAGATCAAAAGGGTGCTTCTACTAAATACTGAGCAAAGGGTCTGAATACTTATGACCATGTGATATTTCAGTTTTTCTTTTTTAATAAATTTGCAAAAATTTCTACATTTCTGTTTGTTTCTGTCAAGATGGGGTGCTGAGTGTACATTACTGAGAAATAAAATGAACTTTTTTGATTTTTGGAAAATGGCTGCAATGAAACAAAGAGTGGAAAATTTAAAGGGGTCTGAATACTTTCCGTACCCACTGTATGTATATATTTCCTTGGCAGTCACTTCGCAGTCCAGCAGATGTCAGCAGATGTAACAGGTAGAGTCTGGAAAGGTTGTGTTTAGGCTATGTGGACGCCTCTTTTCAACTTCTCAGAACCAGACAGCAAACAAATCACACAACAGCGTCCCCCAGACTCTCCACAGCATCTTCTTCATCAATCATTCCCTCATCTCTGTCTCCACGTCCAGGCAGTATCTTTTCTTCCATTTCTCTTCAGCTCTGTCCCGCATCCTCCCATCTTCTTTCTCTTGTTCTGTGTAATTAAATTTGAACAGCGAAAGGTTGACTGTCTGTCTGTGCTACACAACAAATCGATCATCCCCTTATCTCTCCGCCACACTGCTGACAATGCTCTGAGATTGGTGAAAGGCAGACCACAGAGGGAGAAACATTTCTGAACATATCACAGCACTTACTGTCAAATATTAATTTGTTTATCAAGCTTTGATTTAGTTTCCTTCCCTTTAAACCTTTACTGCGTTTTGTTCCTGGGCTCATGCACACAGGCATGCCTTGATGCTTATCAACTTTCACCTGCTGACACTCCTCATTTCTTTTCTTATAATACATGATTTCTCTCTGTGGGAGAGTTACAAATATGTGCTCTTTACGGTACGTGTGATCTCCATGAATGGAAGTGCATCCTAATCTAATTTTCCTGAGCTGCTATCTGATCATCCAACTAAACTGAAATGCATTTACTCATGTACACCTCAGCAAAGGTCACATGATTGAACAGATAATAAAAACGGGTCTATGCTACGAGCAGCCTATTTTAGTTATTACCCACCCTGGAGTACACCTCTACGTCACTGTAACAAGGTGAGACCACTGGAGGTTAGAAAAAAACAAGACTTTCAGCTAGTGAAGTTGCTCTGAAGTGCTAACAAACTTTCCATTGCCAACCGAGCCTATTAAAAGTACTTTCCCACTGGATTCATAGATTTGTCCTTTAAATTGTGCAACCATTAGCACACATATCAAATAAAGCTTAAAGAAAGAGCATAAACCATTTTCTAATTGGGCAACAGTTTACTGAACAACATTTACTAATTTATTTATATGTCAGTTTTAAGCTATTAACAAAAAAAACTTTTTGGTTGCCAGGTTGTAAAAACATCACTTTCTTTGGTTTCTGTATTTTTCATTTCTTAAAAAAGCATCAGTGAATTATATTAATAGCTTTTCAATAAATTGGTAAATGCACTGATAATTAGAATTTTTAAAAGTATCATAGTGGGTGAGACTTTTGCACTACCTGGCAATCCAAAAGTTGTTCTTATTGATGTAGGCCTATATGTCTAAAACTGATGTAAAAACTATTAGGAAATGAAGACATTAGCTGAAACGTATAACTCCTTTATAAAGGGTCATGTGTTGCCAGACAATGGATGAAGTGACGTGAAGTAGGGGAGACCCACCCGAGCCATTTTGAGGTTATTTTTATCCAAACTGTTTATTTTTATTTGTATGTTTGTGAGGGGGAGGCGTGTGTGCGCTGTAAAAATATATTAGAACGAAAATATTTCAATTTCAAAGTCTTTTTCTTATATTAGGTTGCAAACGTAACTTTCGTGTGGCCGCGTGAGCGCGCACTTAACGGTAGTGCGCGCGGCCCGGGAGTGGCTTGCTCCCACGGACGCACAGAGGCTCCTCACAGCAGCATCACTACAGCAGCACGGGGTCCAACTCACAGGTGTTTTTCTCCGCTGCTGTTTGACAAATCTGGCACCAGAACTAGGCTTCTAGGTTTTTTTTTCTGAAATTAAAAGCACCGGGTCGATCACCGGGAGAGGAATTCAACAAACACACCCGAGGGATTAACGGGATTTGTACTTGGAGGTAGGCAGGAACAATAATTCATAGCGTGTTGTTTAAAGACGCTGATGTTATGGAGCTACTCTATGTTTGTGACAATAATCGTTTCAGGAGAGAAACCAGGTGTAAACTGCAATAGAAACAGAAAATAGGCATTATTTTATTCATCAAAGGTAAATAAAAATGAATAAAATAAAAACATAAACAAATAAATAAGAAAACCAAAGGGGAACGTGTTCAGTTCATGATGAAGCTGTGTTGAAACTGCTCTGAGAGGAACAGCTCAGCAGGTTAAAAGGTTTCAGACTGACTTGGTTTAAAATGGATCATATTGGCATACAGTCTGGGCTTTTCAAAGTCACAATGCTCTGATCGATGACATCGACCAGAAAAGCATGGGAAAACAGCTAAAAGGTGTGTGTGTGTGTGTGTGTGTGTGTGTGTGTGTGTGTGTGTGTGTGTGTGTGTGTGTGTAAAGTCAGAACAGTCCATAGTCTCATCTCATTTACATAGTCTAATGAGCTACTGGCTGAGTAGAAGAGGGCAGTAAGGGGACAGGGCTGTGTCTGTCACTATTCTTATTTAAGGTTTTAAAATCCAGCATGCATGCAAACATTAAATGCATTTGGCCTGGAAAGGATATAGAAACCTTAAGTGTTTTGTGTGTGTGTGTGTGTGTAATGCAACACGAAGGTGGTGTCAAGAAAAATTATTTGATGTGCAAATATTTTATTTATCATGATACAGATGTTCACAACATACACAATTTAAATAAGCACAGTAATGTTTTGCAAGCTTGCTAAAGAGCCATAGTGAGTCTGCACGTCATCCTGGGACAGTTGTTCCATCTCCTTTGCATTCATTATATTCATTAAATTAAAACATTAACAAATCAAGGAGTGCTCTCTCTCTCTCTCTCTGTCTCAGGATGTGTGGTATGGACGTGGACCTGGACGATGGAGGTTCAGGAGAGGAGGAGAAAGAGGAGGAGTTCTGGATCGGGGAGGGAGTGAAGATGCTGCCCCCTCCCGTGGCCCACAGCGGGGGCAGCGCGTGGGGAAGCCGCAGGGGCAGGTGCGGCTGCGTGGCCTGCGGGGCAGGTCTCATCCTCTGGAACCTGTGCGTCGTCTTGACCAGCACTCTGCTCCTGGCTGTGGTCTTCTCTGTGGTGCTGCTGCCTGCAGTGCTGCTGCTGTACATCGGTTTCCTCTGCCACTCCAGGGTGAGTTGTCTGCAGCACTGTGGTCTCAGGTTAGGAGATATTATCCTGTTGTTTATTCTCTTTGTAGCAAGGACAAGCTGAAGGGAAACGTTACTGTTACTCTATTTGACAGCTGATCCAGTGTTGGGATTTATGCTCCAAAGTTGCATCTGAGCTAATCCTGCCCCTGGATGATTAGATGGATGAGACTATCATCAGACACAGGATAGTGTTTAAAGTGGCAGTAATCACAATGGGCAGTGCCGTATTTTCACAATGTGAAATAATAGGGTAAATGATTTGGGATGTCTAAGTTCTGTAGTAAGATCTGTGATATGCTGCAAATTATAAATTTTTTTTGCCACACTTTAAGATTTATCATTTTTTTGTCTGTTTTATGTAATAAGAGTTTATATTCACTGACTTTGCAACAAATGTGACTGTTAAGTACTGAGTGAACAGACGGTTATCATGTTAATTAAACCAGAATACATTTTGGATTCAAACCGAACACACTGGAACAACTGTTTCTGTATAAATCTGCACAATGTCCTGATTCGTAGGAAGCAAACATACAGAATACAGTGTGTGAATTACCGTAACACTATATGCATTTGGAACAAGATTAAATGTGTTTTAAATGTTAATAATCTAGAAAAAAATATATACTTGGCTTCCACTTTAGCTGTACAATTTAGTCTTGCAAAATATACTTTTCTGCATGTCAACACTTTCCTCTTTCCACGTTTCCTGTCTATCTCAGTGTTCATCTCTCAAAATAAAGAATTTGAAAAAAATTTGCTAAATAATTTTTTAAAGAAACCACTTGTAATTGCGTCCAAGGTGACAAGTTGGAAAACACTTTCTTACTATACCATTTAAGTTGTGGAGGGATCCTTTGTCGAATGTCATCAACATCTTTCCCCATGTTTCCTGTCACTCTGTACTGTCAAACTACTTTCAGTTAATGCTGGTTGTTAAAAGGTTCCCTCATTTTTCTTCCCAGTTGCTGAAAAGTGGGCTGTTAAAAGACCCCTGATTTATGCAGAAAGCTAACAATATAGAAGAAATAAGTTTTGTGCACCTGTCAGGGTTATTAAAGTTGCTATAGTCAGTATTTTTATGGATCCAATGACAGTATAATGGGACTACCTGCTGAGTACCAAAAAGCAGACATACACAGTTAGCGACTAGCTGGTGAAAACAGTGGAGCATTTAGCAGCTAAAGAGCCGGAGAGCAGGAGTTGATGAAAACCAAAACAAATCTAAAAGAGACTGAATTCAGGACTTTACACAGCCCAAATAAATGATGGATGTCTAAATAAGAAACGTTTTGCTAACAAGTTCACCATATCAATATAAAATGTAACAATATATCAGTGTTGCTGATGTTTTTGCTTGTTTCTGCTGCCCCCAAGTGTCCAGAAAAACAGTTAATGCAACTTTAAAAAGATAGCACTCTGTGCCAACCTTACAGTATGTTTACAAATCATTAGCACAGAGGAATCTGCACTACTCCAACCACCCAGTCTCCTTTAACTTGGCTGGAAGTTTAGGCATGTCATATACAGAAAGTGGGAGGATTTACTTTCATGAAGACTGGCACTGGCACCTGGAATCTTAAAACAGACAATTACAGCCTTAAGGGAAAGTCTTTTTGGCAGCATATGTTATACGCCTAATCGTGACACCTTCTCCGCAAAGTAGTTCAAGCTTTGGTTTTTATTAAGAAGCTCATCCAAAAAGATAATGACTAAACTTGAATGTTGGAGCTTGTCAGACTGTGTTTGTTTTAATGATGTGAGGAGATGGGTGCGGCTTGTTTTTTGTGAGTCACACGAGGGGGGCAGACAGGTCATCAGTAAAACATGGTGAGTCTAGCCATCACGCCTAATCAAGATGTGAAGCTCTACAGCTCTGTCTCTGGCTCACTCGATGGGTCATAACATTAAAGCCACATTTCAATCAGCTGGTCCTCAGACCGTGGTTGTCTCGGTTCTGAATGATTTGGTCTCTGAAGGTGCAACCGGGTATGACGGAGCAGGCAAATTAAGAACATGCAAAGTCCATGCGTGCAACAAGACTGTAATCGTGATTAGGGCAGCGCAAGTGATAGCTCAGAGCAAACAATTACAGATGATGCCAGTCAGACAGTTCTCCCTTATTGTGGCGACAGACTGAACATGGAGAGAGGGGGACCCACTGAGAAGACGAGATTTGGCACCAGCTGTGCACAGACACACTGACAACATGATGAGGAGGGAAATGTACTCAGTGAAAGCACAGTGTGCACTTGATAGAGGTGTGTGTGCTTGTGCTGTTGCTAGGGTACTTTTGTAGGAGGCAAAGTTCCTTTTGAAAAAGCTTACAATGGGAAATTGTTTACAATGAGGACTACCCAGTCATTTTGAATGTGTCTGAGTGAGTTTGGCAGAGAAAAGGAGATACTGTGCTTAACCCCGGTGTATGCTCTTATGTTATAGTATGCTTCATGTGCACTCTGATCTCACCTCTCGCTCTTTATCCACTCATTGTTTTGTTCTTTTCCTGCCTCTTTTACATGTTTCTTTAGTGTCCGTCTCTTTCTCTCTTGCCTCCCCCTACCCACGCTCTCCCTCTCGCTCTTGCTCGCCGTCACAGTTGATTGACAGCTCGGAGGGTTACTGTCAGCTACTGAGCCACTTGTTATCTGAACTGTAAAGGGAGGGTGGGAGAGACTCTGTCACAGTCCACTACCCACCCTGTCCCACTTCTGCACCCTGAGCATATGCAGACACACACATGCACACACTAATCGCAACCTGGCCAATGACAAATTGTGCCTATTTGCTTTTGATGGAAGAGAAGTCGCTGATGCTAGAACGTTTGTCACATCCTCTGGAGCCCTTGTGTCTACTTGTGTGATCCCCTCTGTGTTGTCGTCGTAGGTCCTTGACTCCCCCTCGGCCATCTGCCGTTACCTTGACGACAACAGCTGCTCCGCCCTCATCATCCTGGGCTTTGTGATGATGTCACCGCTGGTGGTTGTGGCAGCCGCCGTCTTTTGCGGGCTGCTCCGAAGGTTTCGACTCCTGCTTCTCATTCAGCCAATCTCACGTGCTTGGTACCGAGGGCGACTGCTGGACTGGGCGGGCAGCATCCACGCCTGGGTCTGATCGAGACGAAACCAGAAGGGGGATCAGAAAGTTGGATTAGTGTAAAATAACCAGAGAGATACAAGGGGTAGACAAAATAACAGAAACACCTCGCAGTGTAATCAATACAATAGTGCAACAATAAATCCTACCTTTGTTATGATGCTCAGTTTTGTCGAAATTGTGTTAGAGAAATGCTGACTCAACAAGATCTAGTCTGACGTGGGGAATATGCTAATTCACTGTCTAGATGAGAAGATCGATACCACGGTCATGCCTGTTTGGTAAAAATTATGCTACAACCAGCAGCCAGTTAGCTTAGCTTAGCACAAAGACTGGAAGCAGAGGAAACAGCTGTCCAATCTAGGGCTTACTAATTAACACATTATATCTCGTGTCTCATGAATGTACTATGGGAACAACAAACATGGCTTAAATACAGCTGCCTTCTGGGGTTTGATGGTCCATTGGACATGGGAAGTAGGAATTTTCCGAGTTCCAAGTCGGAAATTTCAACAACAACACCTCTTAAGTAATTTCAGACTCGGAAATTTCGAGAGAACCCACAGACGTATATTACTGGACAAAGCCACTCTGCGGATTTGAATGGAAAGCAGTGAAGCCAGTTTTGGCCCTATGAGATATTACTACAGGGCTACTTCCTGTTGGCACCAGCCTCTACTGCGCATTATTGCGCAGCATAAGCATGGTTTAATGACATAGAGTAACAGCAGAAACAATTCTGGTAGCTGCATTGCTGCACCAACTAAAGTCTTCACGCTCAGTGTGTTTGTCTGACTCTGATCGTCACTGTTTAATCCGCCCACCTACAGGACTCACCTGCCTAACTCCAACGTAGTGTCACTGATGGCCGAATAGTTTTTTTAAGACTTGCAGAAAGCTTGTAATCTAACCAATACGGTTACATCTCTCATTTTGACGGCGTGTCGCAGGGTAAGTGGGCTTACATGGAACCCATCCTTGAAGGCTATGGTCGGCTTCACTGTTCGATTTCTGGCTTACCCTCTTTGGAGAACCTTATCAGCTATAGTAATATACTGTTTATCACACCTCTGTCTGAAGTCTGGAGTTAGAGCGGGTTGCCCACAAGATCACTGGTTCAATCACCGGGTTCTCCAGGCTCCATGTCAAAGTTTCCTTGGGCAAGACACTGAACCATCGCTGTTCCATCAGTGTATGAATGTGTATGAATGGGTGAATGTGATGTAGTGTAACAGCGCTTTGAGTGGTCAGAAGACTAGAAAGACGCTATACAAATACAGAGCATTTACATTCCCAGCTCCAGCATCCGACTTCCGAGGGAAATGGAACACACCAAAAGCTTTTTGCCACAGGAGATTTACCGGGTCTGGCCACTGGGACAAATTGGTGGCAAGGCTGAGTGCCAGCTCTCTTTATTCATCCATGGTTTTGTGTCATGGTTGTTAGTGCCAACTATCTCTTGGTTAGGCAGAGTAACCTACTTGAGTCTCTGCTGGTTGCCTGGCCACCTCGTCGAAATTGTTGTAGCACTTAACCCTACTGTAAAACCGCAATGTTTTGACTTTGTACGGGTTAAACAAAGGAGACAAAACTTGTTCATTTGTGAGCTTCAGAAGTGCTGGTAGATGGATTTTGTTACTTTTGGACAGAGCCAGGCTAGCTGTTACCCCCTGTTTCCAGTCTTTATGCTAAGGTAAGCTAATCACTTCCTGTGACTCTACTCAATGGACAGATATAAGAGCTGTGTGCAAATAAGTGAAAGAAAAGCAAATAAGTGTATTTTCTAAAATATCTAACCATTCCTTCATTGGCAAGTTGTGTAGTGTTGTTGTACCGGGTTGCGTACTGAAAAGTATCTTGATTATTTTGTCTACCCCCTCACTATAGGTCATTTTGTTGAGAACAATACAATAAGATTGTGCTTAAGTTCATTGTAGCAATTTCCATCTCAGTGTTATTTGTCTTTATTTTAGAAACTGAAGAATTTTCAGTGATTTGTGGAGTGACGTTTTTGTGCACTTTAACCTTGCATACAAAGATCCCAAAACATATTGTGCACCCATTTGATCAACAGGAACAAAATGCATGTTGGGAGAGGCCAAAAATGCTATTCAAGTCCTTTTTTTGTCAAATGAAGGATAAATGTGGGATTTTCAATCAATATTGTAATATCACGATGACTTTAAGGCAGGCAAGCCTCAAAGGAAGTTAAATTTTTTGGATAGTTTGAAGAGAGTAACATGTCATGGTAGCATATTATAGTAATATTCAATTCGATTTTGTGTATAAAACTAATATTTTTTTGATTTTGTATTGCTTGTTTGCTAACTATGTTGCTCTGAAATATATTGTTGTAAAGTTATTTGTGGTTGCACATTAAAAGTCTAGCAAAAAGTCAAAACACAATTACAAACTTTAGATTTGTTGATCTGTTTTGAGTTAATCATGGTCCATGTGTGTTGGACTCAATTCCCTCGGGAACTGAAAAACAGGGTTTATAATGTAAAATGTATGGTAAAACGCAGCACACAAGGACTATTGTCTGTGAGGTGAATTAAATGGACAATGATGAAGTTTATCTGATGTAGCTTCATTACTAGTCATGTCTTATGGGAGGGCAGGAGTAATGTGAAACATATTTCATCTAAATGGATCTTTTAGATCACATCGCACAATAAAAAAAACACACCCTTCCTTATAAAAACACCACAAGCTGACAGTACGACAAAGCAATGATTGTTTGGTGGAGCCAGGTGTTAAAGTTGGATTCGAATCATCAGACCAGGAGCTCATCCTGCTGCCTCTTTGCTTTCTGGTCATTTAAATTCATCAGTGACACACACAGCGCACATCCTTTTTATCTGTGTGTCTCCGCTCCGTAATTAAGAGTTCAGATTTGAGTTGCCTTTCTCAGAAGAAAGCCTTGAATCATATTTTATGGGGAGTAGTTATTACTTGTCCTGTGCCATTTTTATCATACTGAAATATATTTGTTTTCTACTTAAACATATTTATTTGTGTGTTTTGTCTGTGTCTGTTTACGTCAGTCCTGTTACTAACACTCCATTGTTTGTATGCTGTTTGATTACAACAACAAAGCCCTTTGAGTTCCAGTATTTTAGAGAAATGTAAAGGAAAAGGGTGAGATGTATTTGTTTTTATTTATGCTGTATTGTGATCACACTTGGCTAATCGGGGGTTTATATTTTGTTCAGCTTTTTGTTTCTGTGTTATCAACAAAACCGCAACAGGTTGTCCCGTTCAGACCTCCATTCAATAAAAAGAGGGCTCCCCCCCCCCAGAGTGTCTCTTTTGAGATGTGATCTGTTTGTAAAGATCAGAGTCCAGTGATTGATGACTTAACATTCAGCTCTCAAACATACATGCAAAACACACTGAAGGGGCATCGTGACCTCGATTTCAAAACTAAACAACATGAGAAAAGTCTCCCTACTAACCCTTCTCACCCTCAGTTTTAACATCTGTTAATCTGGTCACATTTGTGCGATGAGTTAACAAGCTGATCAAAGGACAATGTTGCCTCTGATGATGTGGTCGTCCAGTCTGTTCAGTTCACTGACAGATACATCATCCATCTCCTCTTCAGAGAGCCTGCATGTGTTGACATGTGGCTGCTCTCCGTACTATCCCACTGTAGGACTGTTGTGTTTACCTTGCAATTTGTATAAGCCCTTCACAATGTCTGTTTACCAAAAGCATGTGTTTATGTCTGCCTGAGCAAATATACAAAAGCAAAACATCTGTCTATAGCACAGAGCATCAGGAACTGTAAAGTACAGAGAGCTGGCGTTGAATGCTCAGTCAGAATCTTGGTTACTTATTCTTCAAATCAGGTAGTTAATGGTTTTAATTACTGCGGCACCGCAGTGCTTTGAGCTAAAGTCAGCATGCAAACATGCTCACAGTGACATTGCCTTAATACAGATACTTTGAAGGTAATGAACCATGTTCACCATCTTAGCTTAACGTGTGAGCATGCAACATTTCGCTGAGCCTGATGGCAACATCACTAGCACTTTGCAGGTGTTTGGTCATAAACTAAAGCATTGGAAAAACAAAAATGTTGATAATTATGGTCCTAGATGAAAAATTAAGGGAAGTTTTAACACCTCATCCTCTGGAGGACAAATGTGTTTGTACCACACTATAAAAAACACAAATGTGGACCTCGTGGTGGTGGGAAAAGAAAAGTCAGGGGATCACCAAAGTCATCAGGATTCATCCTCTGGACCATAAATCTCTGTACAAAATGTCATGGCAATCTGTGAATTGTTTAAAAATTTAAGTCTGGACCAAAGTGGTGGACCAACCAACTGACAAACCATGCCATCCCTAGAGCCATTTAAAAAATAAGGTATCAATATTATAAGTATAAGTATATATAAGTATTTTTTTGGCAATGGTTGAGAAACAGTTTTTTTTAATACAACAGCCAATGTTTAGTAGGGAAGGGGCAGGTAAAACAACAAATAACATGCTGTTGACCAGAAACAGGCCACGCACCACCACAAGGCCCACTCACTTGGAGCTTTTGACAGCATCACGGAGTTTGCCCAGTTGACATGGAATTAAATATGTTAAAATTTCTATTTTCCTTAGCACTTTAAAGACTTCTTTATCATGAAATACTAAATACTAGTAGAAATACTAGTTTACCATTCAGACATACAGTGTTAATGGTCAGCATACACTCACTTTGTCGTGTCTCGTCATAACAGTAAGCTTTAAAGTCATTTGCATGTATACTGTTCACTGCACAGTGGCTGAGCTTTACTGTGTTCCCCTGAGACCGAGAGAGGAGAACCAAATTGGATTTATTTTTTAGTTAAAAAGGAAAATCTTATCATGTGGGTCAATCACTTGTAGCAATGTTCTCCGTTGTTAAGTGGTTGGTAATTAGAATAGATGTAGAGTATGGGGGAGGAAATTGCAGAGGGATGGACCAGACAATGAGCTCTGAAAGCCAGAAACTTCAGCATGTCACAGAGGGAGCACTGGGTCATTGGTATTGATGCCCTTAAAAAATTCATGATAAAAAATTCCCCTTTAAACTATAATTACAGATTATAAAATCTCCCATATATTAAGAGTCATTTAGTCTAACATTCAGCATTTGAACCTTTGAGTGTAACAGCATCAAACAAAACAATAACATGGTGATTTTCACTTGAAACCTTGTGACATTAATTCAACCCATTGGTAAATGTGCTGGCATTAAAAAAAAAGTTTTAGGATTATAATATATTAAATTTTAAAAATGGAAATAATTGCAGTGCAGGGTGAGTAAAAATCAGGGAGACGAGTCTCTTGCCATGGCTCTCTGAGACTGTGCTCAGTCACACCTGCACTTTGAGCCCTATATTAACATCAGCATGCTGACACACTCACAATGACAATGCTAACAGGCTGATGCTAAACCATCACCATATTGATTTTGCATGACAGCATGCTAACATTGGCTAATAAGCACAAAGCACAGTTTAGGATGATGGGAATGTCATCAGTTTTGCAGGTATTTAGTCATAAACCAAAGTAGTAAACAAATTAAGATTTTGGCCTCCTGGTGGACGAAAAGTCAAGAGAAGACCAAAGTTGCCCTCTGGGGACCACAAATATCTGTACCAAATTGCATGCCAATCCATCAAATAGTTGTTGAGATATTTCTGTCTGGACCAAAGTGGCCGCACGACTGATTTACATTGCTATTTAAAACTATGCCGCTAGCATAGCTAAAAATACTAAAGTGTGGATACATTTTTTGACAAAACAGTTAAGTGAGGAACAAATGCAACTGATCGGATCCATTAAAAATATAAAGGTATTCTTTTAAATGCCTCACTGACTCTTTAAATTTGAATCCATTAGTTTAAGAGTCCTTCCACTGCTCTCACCAGTCCCACACATTTTCACCGGAGCGACGAAGTGGACTCTGTAATGGATGCTTCGGTCTGTCTGAGTGTCGCTTTGACAGTTTTTTTCAATTGCTAACATGCATTGGTCGAAACTGAAGTCACATTGTCCAAACTCTTCACACAGTCAGCGAAACAGAAGTGTATGTGGCCCAAATTGTGAATCATCCTTCATTGCTTTCACACAAAATGCATTCAGTGACCACTTTCTCCAAAATCCACAATCTCTTTTCTCTAACACACTGTGTCCAAAACTGTTAAAAACACTTTCAAAACACAATGATGGCAAATATCCTGCATTTCTGCAGTAACTAAACTAAAATATATAAAAAATCTTAGCAGAATATTTACAGTAAATTTTATGTTTACGTCTTTGTACTTATGTGTTTTGAAAAAAGTTTAGAACTACAATCTGAGTGTAAAGCAGGAAAAGTGCTTGTACTTTAGAAGACTTGGTTCAGGGAGTTGGAAAGTGAGTTACAGGTTGGCACTGAAATTTTAGTAAATAAATTTTTGTTTGAACTTTTTATTTTTCACAAATAAACAAGTGTACTCAATGATATAGAAAAAAAAGGATATTGAATCAAATTTCTGCATCTCTGATTAATTCTTGTTACATATACTTTAGTACAGTCAGTAAAGTGAAAATATGTTATTCTTATTTGGTTTGACTGAGTTTTGGGGGTGAGATTAACTGTTTGGCCAAGATGCATGCTGGTAATGCAGACTGTATGAAGAGTTTTGATCAATGGTTGTTAGAAATTGAAAGAAAATAAGAAAGTCTATTTGACAGTATGTTAAAGCAGCCGTATCAATGAGGAGAACGCATGTAAAGTGCTGGCAGGAATGATTTTCAGCTTGCTGTTGACTGACAATTAGCTCTAATATTTGAGTTCAAACAAATTTCCATGAAGCTCAGTGAACCAAACATTTACAGGTTGTTGTCTTGTGGTTGGATGGGGATGTAATATGCTGCATACTATAATATTCAGAACATCAGCAGCTGTGAGTCTCAGGTAAATATGGACATGTTATTGCTGTCATCACATTAACAGTAAATAATACCGTCTGGGTCATGATTACTACTTTAATGTATATTTTAATGATTTGTGTCCATGACAACTTGGATGTTTCAGGTATTTTCCATGGCAACCAAATCATATCAGAGGAAATACTGATTATGTATAATTTATAACTCTGTGTGCCACAAAGCTGAAAAACTGTTGAGCTACCAGCATTAGTGTAGCAGATGTGCGTGTGTGCACGTGTGTGTGTGTGTGTGTGTGCGCTCTATTTCATGCAACAACATCCTTGAGCAAAGAGGACCACGACTGCAAGATGTTATCACCTTTTTTATTAAAACAATTACACCAAATAATGCAAAACAAATGTCTCAACACATAATGAATTGAAACACAATGTGGCATCAGCACTGTAGTTAATACTCATTATGTTTTGTCCACACAGGGCAGTCATGAAGTATTACAGTATGACAGCAGAGTGTATTTCATTGTTTTGCTGCTGTACTCCAGCACAATGGCTGTGAAAAGAAATAATGACTCTTGGCTTTAAGGGTGTTTGAGGGTGTTCATGTTCATACATACTCCTACAATTTTAGCGGAATGCAGAAGGATAATAATTCTAAGCATACAGGCAAAGCAACCCAGGAGTTTTTATGGCCAAGCATAGACTTTATATAAGGATCTTTATATAGGCTATGTAACATAGTTAAAAAGCTTCAAGTTAAATCCTACCTAATGGGACTACTGTGCCACCTGCTATCATGAAGTTGTACCTGCAGTGAACGCTAGTAACGACGACGGGATTATGGGTAATCCTCAAAGCAACGGAGGATTTCCCCTCAGGTAACCTGTCTGTGAATGTCCGTGAACTAAACAATGCTGACTTACTTGAAAAGCTTGTAAAAGTTAAGCTAGATTTCTTTGGTTGAATATTATGTGTAGTAGATTAATTTCGCCATGTTTTTATGAAGTCAACCATCCGTTTATGTGTATAGCCAGTAGAAAATCTCTCCAGTATAGCTAGCTAACTTTAACATGATGCTGTCTTTCCAGACAGAGCACGCGCTGTTTGTCCACATAAGACGACTATTCAACACTGTTGTCCTTTGTCATGAATACACCTGTATGTTACCATATGTTTTTAGAAAGAGTGGCGTAATATTTAAACATGAGGTTGAGGTAGTTTCTGCTGTTTGTTTGCCTCCGGTATGTTGAATTGTGATGAAGTTACATAACTTAATTGTTTGCAAATAATTGTTTACAGAAAATGGAAAAATGTAAAGGTAACTAGGAAATCTGTTTAATTACCTTGTAAAATTAAGAGAAACAATTTGGTGTGTTTATTT